GGCCACGGCCCGGATCCAAAGGCGACTTGGGGCGCGCGCATGGCACCAACCTGCCCTTGGCCGGGGTCTCAGGCCCCACGGCATCTTGCTGGGGGTCCCAGCGGGCGCGGGGAGGGTCTGGGCTCCCAGCCTCCAGCTTTCCCCCCCCCCGGGACCCCCCCCCTCCTCGGCAGCGGACCTTGCCCAGAAAGTGCTTCCGGTAGACCCTGGCCATGTGGTTGCACTCCAGCTTGACTCTGGAGCTCGGAGACTGGAGGTCGGGAAGGTCCGTCAGATCGTGGTTGGTGCCCTCGATCCAGTAGCCCCCAAACTGGGGGAGCAAGATGAGGGGGAACGGAGCCTCTCGGCCGAGGACCTGTGGAAGGGAGCAAGTGGGGGAGCGTCTGAACCTCGGGGAGGCCAAGGGAGAAAGGACGGTCCACCCAACAGCCCTCTGCCAAAAAGGGAACACAGGAGGGCAGCAATTCCCGCCCCCCCGGTCATCCTGAGGTAGACTGCTCCTAAACATGGAGTCTCCTTTCAGCTGATAGACTTGTTCCCTACCTCGTGGACGCTGGGATACGGAATATAATCCTCTTCCGTCTGCAAAACACAACGGGTCCTCGTATCAATGCACAAGCATGCACACGTACACCCAGCCCTCTCCTCTCCTTAGTGCAATCCGGAGAAAGGTCCCAGGAGCCTGGCAGCAGCGCGGAAAGCCCGCAGCTCCCTCACAGGCCTTAAGCGCCTTGCGGTCCCCCGTGAGGATGCGGTGCCACGGGAGAGGCAGGGGAGCGCAGGGCATGTGGGGGGAGCAGTGATGGGGGGGACTCAGGCCCTTAACCGAAGGGGCAGCTGGAGAGGTTCCCAGCGACAGCCACACGCACGTTCACCCCGTGGCATCGGGGTGCAACTGAGCGCCTCCAGGTGTGGGGCAGATGTCCCCATCGTGCAATACCGCCCCCGGGTCCTGGGGGAAAGCGCATCCGCGGGGCTGGGCGGCAGGAGAGCCAGGCGCTCGCGAGCTCCGGAGGCGGCACGTACCTTCAGAGGAGGCGCAAAGGCACACCGCTGCTCGTCCATCCGGTTTCCCTGGAAGACAGACCAGCCACCCGAGTCAACAGCCTCCCTGGGCCGCCCGCCAGCAGCGCCTGGGCTGGCAGAGGGCAGGGATGGCGGAGGACAGATCCTGCTTGGCACAGGTCAGCCTGGCCCAGCATGGGTCTTGCGGCTCCTGCCCCTGCGCGCGAGCCACCACCGAGCCCGGGTGTGCCACGGGACCACGCAGTCCCAGAGGTACCCAGCGGTGCCACACGAACCACCCAGCCTCACGGTTGGATCAGCACCCCGGGCATAGGCTGAGCCTGGCTCTCTTTCACAGCACCCCCCAATCCTTAGGGACCACTGTGTTAGCTGAGGATTATGGACACTGCAGTCCCACACGTGTGAAGAGCAGCGGGGAAGAAAGGCGGGTTTAGAGTAGGAGCTCCAAGGAAGGGGCATGCATCTCTGAGCATGCAAAGAGTGCACTTCTCCCACTGACAGCTGGGGGAGCAGGTACAGCTGTCTGGCGGGAGCCCCTTCCGCCCCTGCCCACCTCTCTCCGGGCCCCCCGAGCAGAGGGCTGAAGCTCGCTCTCGGAAAGGTTAACAACCCCTTGTCCTCAAGGGACCGTCTCTGGGGCAGGATGCAGGGCCGCCGGCTGGGGCAGACCCCCCAGGCCCCCGACAGGCCCCCCCTTCAGCTCCGGCTCCGCCAGACGCCGACAGGCCCGGGCCTGCGAGAAGCTTGACTCACCTGCATCTTCTCGATCATCGCAAACAATTCGGAGTTCTGCAAGAGACAGAAGGGACAGGCGGGTGCCGGCTTTGGGCGGGAAGGATCCGGCCGGCGCCTGGAGCCCCTGAACTGGCAGGGCCCCCTTTGCCGTCAGGGGCCCCTTCTCCACCCCCAGGAGAGGCCCGTGGCCCAGCCGGAGAGGGGGTGCTTGCCCCAGGACCCCCAACCGGGGCGGAGCCCTCTCCATCCCCACGCCAAGGGGGAGGCAGAGCACGGCCTGGCTTTCCCCAAGGAAGGCAGCGGTAAGGGGAGGGGGAAAGCGTGGGCAGGCAGACCCCACGGCCCAGGGGCTCCCCACAGCATGCCTCCTTCCCTAGGCTTCCCACCGCCCGGCGGCCACTCCTTCTCCGGCCAGGGA